CTCACTCATGCTCCTTCACGTGCACAAGCTGGCCCCTCCACATTGCTACGTCTTCAGCTTCCCTCAGCCTGTCTCCCTGAAGCTTCTCTGCAGCAGCCACTGTTGGCTTTACCTTTCCTGTCTGCTCTCTTACGGAGCAGCTCAGAGAAGGAAACAGATTCTTTTAAAGCTATTTCTAAGCAAGAAGTATAGGGCAAACAAGTTGACCAGGAATGGATCGGTATTTCTTACATTTTGGTTGGACGTTCTTCTTTGCCACCATTATGCTCCGCTATTCTTGTGCAATGTGATTTCCCATTAATGAAACGAAGACCTGTATATAAATGAACTTTTACTGTGGCTTCTTCAGTTCTCCATTTTGAGTCATCAGCGGCATTCTGCTTCACACATAGGTCTCCTCTACAAAGATGCTGCTGAGGGAGTATTAACCAGGATGGCAGCCAAAGGGCTGGCAGGGATCATTTCTTACTTTCTCTCTTCCATTTTCCCCCCTTCCAAGGCAGGGGCTTTCTAGTTCTAGCTTAAGCAAGGTAAACAATCTACATCCAGATGATGGAAAGTGAGAGAAGAAATAGTGCAGAACTTGCAGGGAACATATATCTTTTCTTATTAGCTAGTTATAAATGCAGAACTGCTTTAAATACCGTCCTGTTTACAGCCATTTGAGCCAATTGACTTTTAGCAGTCATAGCCTGTCACCATGCGTGTAGGCCAACAGCTAAAGGGGAACTTTTGTCAGTGAATTTCAAAATTGCTGCCAAAGTGGCAAAACACACAAGCCCAGCAAAAATCTCTCGTTCTGCTCCAAGTTCTAGAGAGAAGCATGTTCTTAAAAGGACTTATGTGCCTGTGACCATAACCTGCCCAAATCCTTGCAAACTTCAAATTCTTTCCCTGTTCCAGCAGGACCTTAAGAAAGCATCTCAGTAACTGGTTGTACAAATCAGAGAGTCCTAAAACAAAACACATGTTCCCAGGCTTGTACAAAAACGGCCAAAATATTTTTAATAAACTTTCTTCCAAAAGTCTGCTCATGAAGACAACTGAGACTGAATGGTAAAATTCTGGCAAAGGAGAAGCTACCAAAACCAGAGTACATATAAAAATAGAACATGATAGGCTTAACATAAGGCACAACCATCTCAGTTTCTAATAGTGCAGCATGATGAAATAGATCTGTGACTCCAAATGAGTCAGTATTTGAATGCTGTTTTTCTACATCTGCAGTTTTTAATCTAACAGTTCTCTGTGTGATCTCTGGCAAATTTCACTTGCACCAGAAAGACAGAAAACGTTTGACAGGATCTGTATTGCCCTCTACCCCAACTGCTGCCCAGGTTTTGCTGGCTATCCAGATCAGTCATTTTAAGGTCTGTATTAATTACCGAATTCTCTCTTCTCCAACAGAATTTATAACTTCATTTCTATTTTTTAAAATATTTTCAGTGCACCAGAATATTAGTCTAAAGGAAACAGAAAGAAAACACAGACCATGTAACATGTACATTATTGCAAAATGAGCAATACAAAATCCAATATTCATCCTTCACAGGAGACCGTGTGTTGTTCACTCAGCAATAAAGTATATAAATTACACTTTGATTTTCTTGTTTCACTTCTCTTTACCATGCTTGGTGTGCTGATGCGTCTAGAGAATTTGCCTTTCTGAAATTTTGCTGACAGCTTTACAGAATCATTTTCTCTGGAGCACCCCTCTGAAACTTGTTATTTGTAACCCTTTTTATACCATACCAATTTTGCTACCTCTGCAAAAATATTACTTGCCCGAGGGTTTTTCTTCTTCGTTCACTCATGCACCAGGGGGCTGATTGTTTCTGATTGCTAAAGTCAAAACTCACAGAAAATTGACTATTCAAGCTGAAGAGCATTTCACATGAGCACGGCAGGCTTCCAGTCACCTTGCTTGTCTATATTATTTAGTAACACAGTTACTATATGATGGAGATTATAAAATCATTTGAGCAGGCTGCGTTGACACGCTGGGTAGAAAAAATAATTCTATTGCTTGATATTCTGGAACGGCAATCATAGAATAAGGCATTTGTCTGCAAAGTGAAGAGCACAGCATAAAGAAAACAGATGGATATATAGATGACAGATAGATAGGTCTGTAAAAGCCAAGGTATCATTGCTAGAATTTCTCACATGAGTCATAAAATTTCAGTTTCTTGTTTTCACAGAAAGAAATGCAATTGGAAAAAAAAGATTCTATATTGAACTTTATGGGGATACTATTATTTTAGAAATCCTTTGTGCATTTACAACGTAAAATCATACTCATTAGACATGAACATATCCATTACATCATTTGTGCCATTTTCTGTCCTGTGAAGAATGGCTCCTGTATTGTATTAGCTATTGTTTCACTGCCTCAGGCAACGGGGTTTCATCCATTTCCCTTGAGCAATGGTTCTATGGTCTAAAATGCACATATATGCTGTACTACACTGAGATAACTGAAATTAAGATAGTGTTACTGATCTGAGAGAACTCAGGAGTGAGTGTTAAGATAATGAGAAAAGTGTGGTATTGATTGCCAGCTATGCTTATATCTTTATTTTACCTTTTATCAGAGCCTCATTCAGTCCATGTATGTTTCCTTTTTTTAATCATCCACCTTTGCTTTTTTTTTTTTTTTAATGTAGTAATTCTGAGTGATACAGTTATCAAAATTTGATAATTTCAAATTGCAGGGGATTTTCAAAAATGCAGGGATTTTTCAAACAGATTAGCTGGTTGCCACCTACTACTGGTATGTTTAATAAGCTATTCCATGTGCTTGAGGAGTAATGACGTTTGTGGCCTGGTGCATGTGGCAGGCTGCGTGATGAGAAGCTGGAGTAGAAAAGGGTACAGGCAACCTCTTCCTGGACCAGCACTCAGAGACAGTGCTGTAGGCGAAACCTGAGTTTGCCTAAGCAAGCTCATTTTGAGAGTCCTTCTGTGGACACCTAACCAAGCAGGGGTCAAGACCTTAAACAACCACAGAAAACCAGAGCTAGAAGAGACACCAGAAGGCTACACGGTCAGCACCCCTACAGTATTAGTGTTACCCTACAGTAACACAGGGTCACCTCTGTCATTCCCAGCAGATGCATTTTCCAAACTATTCTTATAAACCCTCAAAGACGGAAGGTCCACAGACTCCCCAGGCAGTCTTTTCCAGAGCTTCACCATTCCCAGTATTAGAAAATTTAACCCGATTCAGCAATGCTGAGATTAAGTCCCTCCCTGCTCCTCCTATATTTCCATAATATTTGGAGAACAGTTCTTCCTTGTGTCAGGTTTTTATATACTCAAAGACATTCCACTTCTTCTCTCAGATGCCCCTCCTTTCAGCTAAACAACCCAATTCCTTCAGGTTTTTCTTCAGCCAGGGACCTCTCATCACTCTGCTGCTTCACTGCTGGATCCTCTCGGACCGGTTCATTGCCTTTCCTGTGCCCAAAGCCACCACGTCCCCGATGACCCACGACTAGCGACGAGTAGCCCCGGAAGAATTACTGTATGGATTCTTTATGCTATAACTCCTGTTTATATATCTCAATGTGACATTTGTCTTTGGCACAACAGCTTGACATGTTCAGCTTGAAAAGAACTGCTGCTTAATTAGATGCTCCCCCTTTTTTTTTCCTCTCTGCTTGTTCAGTTTTGTCCTCACCCTGTTTACAGGTTAGGAAAATGAAGCACCCTTCACTTTGGGATATAAGCAGACTGTAGATAAGAAGTTCTTCAGAAGTAACGTCAGGACTTAACTGCCCGACGTTTGGGAAGGTTAGGCACTGATATTCAGTCATGAAGAATGAAGTTTTTTAACTATTTACTTGAAATTCTGAGTTTAAATATACTCAAAAGACCTGTTTACTCTACTTAAAAAACTATAATATATGCTTTCTCAGACGTATGGTCGAATCAATTACAGTTCAGTGATAGAATTTTTAACTGGCATAATAAAAGCTCTGGAGTAAAATATCCTGGCAAAAAGTTCATAAATGCTAATCCAGCAGCAGCGGGTGTCAACCCGATTCAGCAAGGTATCTCATTCGTTTCACAGCCGAAGTTAAATTGGTTAATCGTGTATTGTCCTAGAGGGAAGGAAGCCAAACCACATCACAGACAGGAAAAGGTAAAAGAGAAATCAAAAGGTTTCAAACTGGAGCAAAATATGCTGGGAGACAGGAAGGAAAAAACATGAGCTAGCAAGAGAATGCAAGGTAGAACGGCCAAGTGGAAAATGATATGGTGACAGAAATGTACTCAGAAGCCTATGGAAAGAGTTAAGTAAAACTTTGTGATTGCCTAAACTCTTGAAAAATAATATATATGTAAAATAAAACATGCAAAGGAAGCATTCAATATCAGAAAAAACACATAGCAGAAACGTGCAAAAGAGAAAGGAACAAGTGAACGAAGGTACGTGGAAGAAATACAAGAGGTTTCACAGTCTCCTTTTGATGAATTTTGCCATAGGAAGCAAAAAGGACAAACAATATTTCATGCTCTTCTATTTTGAAATAGAAAGTATTGGAAAGAATAGCTGCTGCATTCTCATGCAGCATCTTTCTTTCTGTTTTCTACGTTCATTGTCTGCCAAACCCATCTCAATCTCCTGTTACTCCTTGTGCCGAAAGCCTTAAACGCAGTAACTGACGCATCACCTGCTCCAAACATGTGTGACTTGCTATGGAGTGAAGACCTGCCTAAATCCACAGAAAGGGAAGAGACATTTGATAAATAACATCCAGCTTTTGAGGGAAAACTACTTAGACAAGCAATGGCTTTGGAGTTAGCATAGATTAGCAGTGCATATTTATGTGATACTTGGATCATCAGCACAGCTTGTCCAAATTGGAAATAAGTGCGTGTGCTACATTGAGATTAAGGCCCGTGCAAAATAATAGCAATGTGCAATTATGCATGCTTTATTTAAAAGTAAATAGAGATTAATAAAAATGTGCAAATTAATAAATAGTGATTACCTCAAAGCAGCGGTTTTCCCATTTCTGTGAGTACACGTAACCTGTCTGGTTTGATACCCAATTTGTATGTCCCAATATTTGTTCTCCTGTCTGTTTTGCCTGTTTCGATTCCTCTTCTTCTTAATTAACTCACGAGCCTCAGGATCCCGTACTGCTTTTTCTCTGTCCTTTTCCTTGTCTTTGTTCTTCCCCCGTTTCCTCGCTTGCCTTATCTGTCGCGAATGGGGCACGGAGCAGGCACTCCAGGGTCCCACGTTTAGGCTGTACATGCTCTCTTCCGTAGCGCAAGGGCTAGACTGGCAGATCTGAAATTCAGTCAGGTTGGGACAGGCAGAGCCACCGTACTGCGGAGGAGCCACGACGTGGCGGGGTCCGGGCGGTACCCCGGGTTGGGCCGGGCGGGGCCACGGTACGGCGGAGGAGCCACGACGTGGCGGGTTCGGTGCTGCAGCCCACTGCCGCAGGTCTTGGAGCACTCCGACCACGGGGCGAATTCGGCCACGATGCAGTCCTGCCGGCAGGGGATGAGGCACGCCTGCTCCTGGCGAGGCTTGGGCTCAAAGTACTCACATATGACATCCTCGGCCGGGACGCCGTTGGCTTTCTGAATGCAGGTTACGTCCCGCACCTGGATCCCTTCCTCTCCTTTGAGGCACTCGGCGGGTTTCTCGTGTCCCCTCGCCAGGACGGGCTGGCACTGATTCCAGCCACCCAGCTGCCAGTCATAGAGCTCCTTGTGCCAGTCGCACACGCGGAAGCAGTGCTGCTGGTTGTCCGGCCTCTCCAGCTGCTTGCAGTTCGTGGGCAGGGTCGTCCAGCCCTCTGCGTGGGCGCACCACACCGCTCGCGTCTGGATGCCACCCGGGCCGCACTCGTCTCCCATGCATCTCCCCCACGGACCTGGAAAACAAGATGAGACGCTGACGTCGTACTTGTTCTTCTATCACGGTGCAAAGCTCGCAGAACTAGTTATGCGTTTCCTGCTCCTCTAAAAACATCAGCCTTAGAGAAACTCCGCAAAAGAATTAGTACGAGATTATTAATCATCTCCTACTTTTATGATTACAGATACATTTCATTTTTTGTGCTAGACAAATTAAATATTTAACTTTAGGAGTATAAAGAGGGATTAATCACACCTGAGCATTAAGAAATCCCAATCGTCACGTGGTTTTGACTAGCAAGATGGGATACCAAGTCCTCCCCTCCAAGGCATGTATCTAATCTTATCTCTTACCTTCATGAAAACCTTTCCTTTGATTGTTTTGGCTTTTGTTTAGTTTTTCTACTGTACTATTCTTTATATTCTGATGCCAACTATCATCACTTTCTCCTCCTTCTGTATTGTGTTAAGTCATGAGAATAAGATCATAATACGTTCTGAAAAATAGGGGTCATTTCAGGACACGGTAAGCCACTTCTGCTCTTTCCTCTTTATAACCACAATAAAAAATATGACCAGGTTAAAGGGAGTGTTTGTTCTACAAAACCTGTGAAATGCCTCGTATAGAACATGTTGTGGGAAATAGAGACTTATTAGCACTGGTAGCTCACAAAAGAACGTAAATCATTACTTTTCAAAATCTGTAAGGTCTACGGTAAGTACGCCACGTTATCATAATAACAGTAACAACAAACCTAATAAAAATCTATATCCCTGAACGATGATACAGGTGCTTTTTCTGTTTTTAAAAAATTTTATATTCACCAGATTCAATGCACAAAATCTACAGATCAGAATGCAAAGAACTGAAGCTTTTCTAGTTGTGAAAAGACAGTATTATGCTGTTGCCATTTTTCTGTTTTCAAAACTCCCTCATAAAGTTCTAACCTGGAAAGCATTGTTTACACATTTTGCATTAACCTACTATGTAAAGAAGAAAAGATGAAGCAGTTCAGAAGAACAGCTCTAACAATTTCCTAAAGAAAAAATGTCTACCTGCATTAAACAAATGCAAACTTTACAAAGCAGTTGTTATCCAGAAGCCAGTTTTTCTGAGTGTGAAGTGCTAATCTTCCATGAAAAAAAACTGGGGCCAGGTCATACAATCCTTTTCATCTGAATGACCCCAGTGACCATAACAGGACTATTTGTGTGAGTAAAGTTGCAGGATTTGCAGGGCTGAGCCTTTGTTGTTTCCAGAGCAGGTTATTAAAGGAATAGCGGTAGTAGGTTAAAGGAATTATGGCAGATATAAATTATTTAAAATGCTTTCTCATTTAATGATTGGAAGGAATACGAAACTGTATCCTATTACTGATTCCCATGGACTTTAAAGCTCTCACTGACTTCACCAGAAGTATCAGCTGCTCATCCAACATTAATTGCAGTAGCAGTTTGGGGACCAGATTGATGCTGGGCTCTGCACTTAGTTTCTGTGTTCCTCACTGCCGTTTTGTTGAGCAGACACTTAGCTAAGGCACGCTGCAGCTGAACAGTTTGTTTGTGGTTCTCAAATCCTAAGCATTAATACCAGAGAGCAATGCCAGCTGGCAGAGACCCATTCAGCACATGGAAACTCCTCTGCTGTTCTCTGCAGATTAAGTTTGAATTAGGGTTTCCAAGGTTTAGCTAGATACCTAGGAAAATAAATACACTTCAGTTTCCATTTCAGTAAGATTAGCCTACTTTACCTCTAACCAGTCATCCACAAATAACACAATTGTTGTATTTAATTTTTTAGGGTATTTACACTGACTTAAGAGATGTACTATTTCCCCAGATAATTCCTTTGAATCATCACTGTTTGAAAACACCTAGCAGCTTTAAAAGAATAAAATGGCAGAAAACCTCCAACTAAAGAAGAGATGCTAATATAATTGTGACTGAGCATAAAGCTAAAAGTCATTCATCTTGCAAACTGCAAGCTACTCTCTTATCATAGCACTGCATCCTGCGTATAACATGTGTGTCCAATTAAGCAACCCCTCTTTACAGATCAGATTTTTGCTACTATACTCCAGATGAAGAATTGCTGTTTTGGCATTCTACCAAACTTGAAATCATCAATTATCCAAGTGCACTATATCTAAAAATTCACTTGACAGCTAAACTCTGTCAATCCAATTCATTGCCATGTTTATACTAATGCAAATATCAAAAATCTCAGCCTCAAGGTATCAAATACTGCCTTCAGCAATGTAAATATGAAAAAAATTGTAAGAAAGTGTCAGTACATGAGTATGATAATTGGGTATCAAAAAAGCTCCTTCAACAGATTACAAGAGGATTGTTTTGAGAACCCGATTTTCAGTGGAGAGGAACCCTGAGGTGCACAAACAGGCTAATTTATTAAATACAGGGTTATTTTGCTTTTGCTGTGAAGTAGCGTGCAAATTTATAAAAGCATTGCTGGTGAGTACTAACCAACCACGTTTCCGTGCTCCTCTGAGCAAACTACTACTCAGCACCCCTAGGATCATGTAAAGACACACAGCTAACATTGTGATGCATCTGATCCTCCCTCTCACCTATATCTAAGTTGATTCAGTTCTTTATATGCTAAGGGAAAAAAGGCAATTATATATACAATTTTTAAGTTTCAGTATAAAATAATACAGTTAGATCATGAAGATGTAAATTCTCCAACAGCTTAAATTTTCACTCTAATGCATACTTCATATGATCAGGACAGGACTCTAAAGTGAGCCACAGCTGTGCAGAGGATCTATTCGGGCTTTCTCCTGTAGCAAACTCCCTGAAAAGAGTGAAGGGTTTCCAAACCTAAGCAAACCAAGTTTCATTTGCATAAAAGTGTAAAACTCAGTGGTAGGGTTTTTCTGAAGAAAGCAAGCTGCAAGCAAAAGGGAAAATAAAAATAAAGCCAGTTTTACACAATTCTCCCCCTGCCCGACATGCCTCCGCAGCAAGTCTGTGCTGCTCACCACTTTAGTGACTTTCTGAGTGGCAGCAAACCCTTCCCCGTGCTCACCAGTCCCTAGAAATTCAGCATCCTCCACAGCCTGGCCGCCTGCTCCCCCACCTTTCCCGGCACCCTCCTGAACTTCTCTCCTTCATGCCCACTATTTCCCCAACTTTGAAGATAGGTTCACCAACCACTTCTTCAAGAACTCTAACACAAACTATTAAAACTACTATGCAAAAATCTAAATGGGTCTTCACAACAAGAAGATATTTCTCTTTGGGGATTCTCTTTGTGGAGGATAAAAAAAAAAAAGAAAGTAACATTTCCCATACCTAGTGCTCATTTAGAATAAGAGCGAGTTTCAAGCTAACTTCAAATGAATCCACCATACAACACAGCTCAGCAATGGCAACACCTCACTTTCTTCCTATGAGGTGGGAGTGGGAAGGGGAACTTCAGTTTTGCTACTTTCTTCAGCTTTTAAAAACATGAAAAAATAATTTAAAATATACTTAAATCTAACATTATGAACTGAAACTTACTTTGCTCAAAATTATTCTGAGAAATAGTAAAAGTGTTCTCTCTTTTGAAAGCAATTTCTGGCAGCCACATTAACCAACACTTCATCAGTTTTCAGTCGCATGCTGCACTGAAATCCTCAATTAAGTCACCCACTTTTGTTTACAGGACCAACAGTCATTGTTCTTAACCTTAAGTACCTAACTGAGGAGACTGGTTGCCACAGGTTCTTTTTATAGCCCATGCAGAGAGAGAGAAGCACTCCTGCGCCTCCCTTAACAGCTACCCATCTCTTCCTACTGATGCCTGCAAGAGCCTGCAATAAATGGATTCTAATTTGGTGGCCTCAAACACATTGCATCTTTCCAAGATGAACACAGAAGCAGGCAAGGAAATGTCTCTGAACTGACTAGAGTCAACTTTGTCCAAATAACACGCAAGAAAGAAATGCATCAAAAAGTAGTACTAAATCCACTGTTTTTTTTTTTCTTGATTGCCACAGATTGAAGAGAAAGCACCTACCACACACTCACAGTATTTCTTTGCCTGACCATTAAAACATCACTGAAGATCCTCAATACATGAGGAAAAGATCATAAGGCAGAGACTTCACATGATCCTCGGAAGTATGACGATCCACCTTGTACCAACTATACCAAGTATAGATCACTTGCAACATGCTTTTTTATATTAAATCATTATCAAGGGCAGTACTTGCACACTTTTCTATATATGTGACTGACCTGCAGCTTTAAATTCCTACATCAGACTGCAGAGAAGAGGAGTACAAAGAGTGACATCCAGTTATCGAGTAAGTCGATTTGTACTTAACATGTCCCATAGACATTTCTGAATGAGAAATTTTGGGACAAAAATTAATCTAGCAGGAGCTAGTACATCATGGAAACTTCCCTAAAAAGTTGTGGGAGGCTGGAGGATATCCTCAGCTGATATCAACAGAAAATCCTTAGGCTAGCTGTCTAGTCAAATCAAGGCCTCAATTGGACATGTGATATTCATAAAAAGCAAATTAAAACATTCTTTAGGTTCTCCATCTCCCACTGAAGCAGTCTTCATACACTCTACTCTGCTTTCCCTCCTATGCATAGATCCAGTCATGACAAGGCAGTGGGACATATGTGTGCCCTGCCTGGCAGTGTGTTTCTTTAGATCTTTTTTTCAACATATTTAGATGAGCGTGTTGTGCCTTACCTGTACTGAGCTGTACTTGCATCATGAAAATACTATCATTTTTCAGCTTACTATTTAATCAGTGTATCACAAACGGTAATTAAAGAAATAAATAGGAAGTTAGCTTCTTTTATTTTGGGGAATTGTCACTGAAGTCCTAGTGAGTTTGAAATGTCATTTGTAAGTCTTTGTCTTCAAAAGAGATTACTGTAAAATACAATAGTAAGATTCTCTATAAGCTTCTGGGGGATTAACTTTTATTTTTGTTAGGGAACAGGAAAGTAAGTGAACTAACCATTACTGTAAATTTATACTGAAATTTCA